TCCTCTTTCTGCCCCCACCCCCTCACCTCCTTTGCCTCCTCCTCTGGGCTCCTGACTCTTTCTGCAGCCTTTCTACTGCTACTCCTTGACTCCTTCTTACAGTTGTCTTTCTGCTACACCCCTGATCTTCTGGTAGGAAAGATCTACACCTACCCTTCTCGGACAAGGGCGAAAAATCTCCGAGGGCCCGTGTGCAAGTTGCACACGTTAAAGATCACCTGGTGGTCTAAAATCGATAAGAGTAGGCTTCGGCCGCCACCCGGTCAAAATTCAAAATTTCCTACCAACTAAAAGTATTAAGTGTGTCCCGCGCGCTCATATGACCTTATGCAGTTGCGAGCGCCGTAAAACCCTCTACTATTATAACAAATAATTATTGATCGTCAAGGGTGGATGGTGTGAGACTGTCGTGGGAGGGGAAGGGTGTAAAGGGTGTGTGGGGGGAGGGAAGAGAATGGGGGTTGGTGGTTGGTGTATGTGTGTGTGTGGGGGGGGGGGGGCATCTAGCAACCACAGAGCTCACGATCGGCTCACTGTGCTGTGTACGTATTCACGCCAAACAAACCATGACAGGTCGGCGGACAGATACGGGAGTGACCCCTCCTTTCACTCCGTCCGGTTGGTGGTTGGTGTATGTGTGTGTGGGGGGGGGGCATCTAGCAAACCACAGGGCCCACGATCAGTTCACTGTGCTGTGTTCGTATTCACGCCACACAATCTTGACAGATCGGCACACAGATACGGGAGTTGCAACCTCAGAATCTCTTTCAATTTCCCCGTCAAAGTAAACAATTCTATCACAAGGGGAAGTAAGCAAAAGCTATAATAATGCTCTCCCTTTCAACAAATTTATTGAATTCTAATAAACGTGGAAAAATGATATCAATAGGTGGATATGAGTCCAGATTTTTTCATAGAAACTTTGAGGTAATCAAGTATGAGCAAATGGCGAAAGATTTGTCGATGACAGTCGTCAGTTATAATTAATCTCTGGTGAAAAGACATGATGACGACAAACTGGACAACCCATAGCACATAGGTGATAGCTGTGTACATAAGTAGGC